CATTTTCCTTCTCTTACCCCTCGAAATCTGCATGCCTTTGACACGTTTTCCCCGCACCAACCCCCTTTCTTACATGTGCCCCCCTCCCACCCCACCTTAAAGAAATAGGCCACCAAAAACAACAAAACAAAATTGTGTTAAACAACTCTCCGACTTTTATAATCCTTTTCCTTGTGAACGTAAACTCAAAACAAACCAGCAGCCGTTACATCCTTTTGAATAGGCCTAACTGGAGTAAATTGGAAAGGTTGTGTTCCCAAGCTTGACCACCGTTTCTTGTGCTGTGTCAGTTGGCAAAGAATAGAAGGCTAAGGTCTGGGTCATTGATTGTTAGACAAGTTGACCCGTCAAGCGGAGCAATTGTCCGACTGGTCCTGTGGTAGACTGTCGGGTAGAACAAAAACATTGCGGTGGACTGTCAAGTAGTTCAAGTAGGCTGGCACCAAATCATAAAAAATCAAGTTCCAGATCTGCGGCAGACAAATCATGTGTTCTACATTAATTCCTTTGCTCGCTGTTTAGGTTCTCCAAGTAGGTTGCTCTGGGCCTACGTCGGCCATTTTTGCCTTCAAGTAATTCCAGCGGGAGCTACATATTATTCAGAACCTTTATGTGAGGTGTCCCAAAAACAGCATTTTTGTCTTTTCCTGATTGTTTTTATCAGCTAGTGGCCCACAGGCGCTTCTTCAAGTACTACCTCGTCATTTTATTTTCTTTTTCCTTCCAATATACTCTTAGCAGTCTCCTAAGAAACCGTTCCTTTCGCTTCTATTTTATTTTCAGTCTTAAATGATTGTCCAGTGGGTGGTTGGGGGTGGCTTCCTCCTTCTTTCCTGTTAAACATCTATCATCCTTATATCTCCACTCCTTTTTGTGTTTGTTACTCTCTTGTAACTCCTTTAATCTTGGGCACTTAAATGGCCTTATTGTGCTGCAAGTGCCGTAAAACTCTTACTAAAACAGTGATTGTCCAGCATTCACAGCCATATACATTGTGAAATCTGTGTTCCTCAGAGTCCATCATGTCTGAGAGGAAGGCCGTCATCAAGAACGCTGACATGTCCGAGGACGTGCAGCAGGACGCTGTCGACTGTGCCACACAAGCTTTAGAGAAGTACAACATCGAGAAGGTGTGTGTTTGTGTGTGTGTGTGTGAGTGTGTGTGTGTGTGTGTGTGTAAGGTGTATGTGTGTGTGTGTGTGTGGGGTGGGGGGTGGGGGTGGGGTGTATGGGTGTGTGTGTGGGCGTGTGTGTGTCTGTGTGTGTTGGCTTGTGCGTGTTTGTGTGTGTTGGCTTGTGCGTGTTTGTGTGTGTGTGTTCGTGTGTGTGTGTGTGTGTGTGTGTGTGTGTGTGTGTGTGTGTGTGTGTGTGTGTGTGTGTGAGTGATGCATGCCTTGTTATAGGTACTTGTCTATAATCCTCTACTGTGCGCCTTTTGGAAGGCTTTGTTTTTATGTGTTCAGTCGGAGATCTTGTTGACATTATATCATAATGGCGTCGCTGATTGCCTTTCTTTCTTTGTCTTTGGTGTTTTGGTTCGCGCGACGGTCTTCACGGGTGGTTGGAGGATGCCTCTGGTATGTCCTACTTCCTTACTTTCCGTCTGTTATTTCTGTCTGTCTGTCTGTCTTACTTTTTCCGAGCATACAGTGGCCATTGTCAATGAATGTGCTTCCCTTTACTCAAACAAACAAACGAAGACGGTCTTCATGATCTAGTAACACGGACAGTAAGCTATTGTATCCAAAATGAATTATATTTTCCTTCTCTCGACGACATTGTCTTTCTGAAAAAAAAAAAGATTTATATTACATGTATGGAGTTCATTTTTTGTGTCCCTCTGTTTCATAAGAGCTCTCATGTCGGAACTGTTGAACCCTTTCCTAAGGTTCATTGTTCACCTGCATACTGCAAAAGTGGCTGCAGAGCTCTCAATGATTTTAAATATAAGTACTTTGGGATTGACATCACCGATATCATACTGACATGACTCCCAAGTTATAACTGCTGTGTTTTTGCTATAGAAATAGAATCTAGCCTCTGATGGTTTGTGTGAAATGAAATATAGAGAAGCAGCCGATATTTTCTTATAATATAAATTTCTCGTCATCCTCGACATCATAATGCCGTACTTTTCCCGAATGTCAGTGACTTGCAATATAATCCAAGTATAGAGATGTATATTATTATACTTAATTAAAAAACACGGGAATTGTATATGAAGTTACTGTAACTGTAACGGTCAAGGAGAAACTATACTACGTTTGTATAAATAAGCTCTTGGTAAAAGAGTACATGTGATGATAGTGTGTGTATGTGTGTGTGTGTGTGTGTGTGTGTTTGTGTGTGTGTACGTGTGTGTGTACGTGTG